CCCTGAAGATCTTGCCTTCTTTTAAGTATATTTTTTAATGGAACTTTGAAGGGCTGTGTGTGTGGTGGAAAAGCAGGCAGCTGCCCGTCCTGCTCAGCGAAGGTGGAACATGGAGTTTTTCTTCAAAGGCTGCACCGGTGCCGAGCTGGAGGCAGGGAAGGGAGGTGGGTGGGGCTGCTGAGGGGGTTGGCCTCCCATTGGTCCTTCTCCCTGGAACTCCGCTTCCTTGTATGTAAGGAGAGGTTGAATCTGACCCAGGGTTTTCACGTGAGGTCGGTCATCAGAATTCATTCATTCATTCATTCATTCATTCATTCCCCAAAATGGTTATTGAGCCAAGAGGCACACTCTGTCAGGCACTGTATCTCTGGGGATTCGGTGGTGAACAAAGGAACTGGATCCCGCTCTTCTGAAGCTTACCTGCCAGTCCAGAAGACCAGCACTCAGAAAGCAAACATGTAAGATAGTCATTTCAAACGGGAACAAGTGCTCTGAAGGAAGCCACAGCGAGCTGCTGTGAGGGCGCTGGTAAAGAGAAGCGTGATTTCATAAGGGGGTCGAGGAGGGCGTCTCTGAGAAGGGGGCATTGGAATGAAAGGAAGGAGCCGGCCATGGCGAAGTGCTGGGGGAACAGCATGCCAGGTGCAGGGAACAGAAGGAGCAACGGCCCTGAGTAGAGACCCGGTTCCATTCGAGGAGCAGCAAGGGGGCCACGTGGCTAGAGCAGAGTAGGGGAGAGGGGTAGGACATGGGGTCGGTAGCAGAGCCTCCTAGTCCTGGAAATCAGTGTGGATTTCATTCAGGATCCAGTAGGAGGCAGAATTACTGGGATGTTTCTTTAAGATACAAACTCTGTCTTTCACCCCTTTGACACTCTGATTTATTGCAGAGAAGGTGGGAACAAGGAATCTGTATTTTTCAAAGCCGCTTGGAGGCCAGGTTTGGGAAACCCCAGACTACACGCACTCCCTGGCTTTCTTTCAGTTTTGAGAAAGCTGAGAAGCAAAGTGCTGCAACATCCCGAAAGGTTGTAAATGTTACGCTATGGAGGAGCCCTTCCTTCCACCCCCCACCACTCCCTGCCTGGGTGAATGAATTACGTTCCTGTTTGTTTTATAATCTCAGGTGGGGAAGCCACGCTGGGAAGGCGAAGCCAGTGCTACTGGCAAAAAGGACAGTGTCCACCTCAGGGCGGGGGTCACGTTGTAAGTTGGCGTGAGACTCCATGACACCCGTCCTCATCAAAGCATTGCCGCGCCTCTCCAGCCCTGGCGCTGCGCCCTGCTGAAGGCCGTGGTGGGCGAGCCATGGTCTTCAGCCCAGCCCTGTGCCCAGCGCCTGGCAGTAGCATCTGCCACCTCCGACCCGCGGGTAGCCCCTGTCCCTCCTCCCTTTGTGAGCACCAGTCGCCACTGAGCCCTCCCACCCAAGGCCAGGACTACTCCCCGTGTCTTTATCCACTGCCACCTTCCTCACATCAGCTCGAGGTGTGTGCCTGCCGCAGGGTCGCCTCTGGCTCCCTGAGGGCCCCGGAGAGTCGGAGATGCCAGTCTCCTGTGTGAGCGGCCCAGTGCCCTGCCGGGCCACACACACACACACACACACACACGCATCGATGTCTGCTGGTCGCTTTTCTAAGAGACGGTGGGTGGACTCGAAGGGGCATCAACGGAGCCGTCTGAGTGGTGAGGCCTGGGCTGGTTTACCTCCGCCAGCCGCAACATGCAGGGATCAGCGCAAAGCATCTCAAAAGCCCTTTCTAGCTTTCCGAAACGAATGTTCTCTCAAGCCAACGCGTGCGCGCTCTCACTCACTCACTGAGCAAGTGTTGCTGAGTGTCTCCTCAGCAGCGGGCGCAGGAGCCTCACCGTTGCGTGTGAGAGAAGGCAGTGAAACGGTGACAACACACGTGAGTAGGGGCCACGGTGAGCGTGGCAAACAGACCCTCACGTCCCAGGGACGAGGTTCGACCTCCCCAGGAGTCCGCTCCCTGCGTCACCCTCTCCGCCGCGACCCCACCTGGCCTGTTGCTCAGGCCCAACACCTCAGAGCCTCAGAGTCAGCAGTGACTCATTCCTCCTTCCCCCTTCTCTTAGTCTCTTGCATCCCACGTTGAACCAGCAGCACAAAGGACGCAGGTTCTACCTTCAAAGTATACCAGCACCCGACCTACGCCTCCATCACCGCCCACTGCACCGTCTCCCCTGCTGTCCTTCCCTCCCTATTGTCTCGAGTCTTCAGCTGGTGGGGCGACCCTTCTGAAATGCAAGCTGGACCAACCACTCTTCTGCTCAGGAGGCTTCCCCTCCCAGTCTCGAGGACCCAGAGCTCTTCCCTCGACCCACGAAGACCTGGGCTCTGATCTCCCCTCTTACCACGCTCACCCTTGACTGCTGTTCCTCGTGTGTGCAGACGGTCTTTGAACTTGCTGTTCCTTCCGCCTAGGATTAGGTGAATGTGTCTGCTGTCCTACCTACAATACTAAGTGGGCGTGGCCCGCTGTCCTGGCAGCCCCCAGGAGCAGGGGGCTTATCAGATGCATTCATCCTGAGCCGTTAAAGCAGTCTTGATGCACTGGCTGCTGGAGCCTGGTGCCTGAGAAATGCAACAAGTTACCCCAATCTGTGTGGCTTAAAACAACAGTAAGCAGTAATCGTGTCTCTGTTTCTGTGGTTCAGGAGTTGGGCGCCGTGACTGGCTCGCCCTCTCTCCTGTGATTGCAGCCGGATGCCGGCCAGGGCTGCAGTCTCACCCGAAGGCTGGGCTGGGGCTGGGGCTGGGCCCGCTTCCAAGGTGGCCCACTCGCACGGCCCGCTGGCGCTGGCTGTCGGCCGGAGGCCTCGGCTCGGCTTCACGCCGGGCCTCTCCGCACGGCCCTCTTCCCTTAGGGTGGTCCATTCAACAGCGTGGGGCAGAAGCTGCCTTTGTGGCCTGCTCTTGGAAGTCCCACACTATCACGTCTCCTAATTTACTCTGTTCTCCATAATGGACTGTGTTCATCAAAAGTGCGTCACTGAGCCCGTCCGACACTCGGGGGGAGGCAACTGGACGCCATCCTTTGACGGCAGGAGCGTTAAAGAATCCGTGAACACGTTCTAAAACCAGCACGAACTCCAGGGTTAGTCCCTCATCCTTCAGGTCTCCACTGCCCCATTACCTCCTTAGAAAGGTCTCCCCCGATCACTGTACACAGTCACTCAGCCCATTTCCTAGTCCCATTGCCCTGATTTAGTCTCTGCATCATTTATCGCCACCCAATAAGCCCTATTATGACTTCCTTATGTCTTTATTACCGGCTCCGCGTTCTGGAACGTGAGCTCTGTAGTCACAAGGGCTGTCCCCGTCTTGCTCCCAGCACCCCACAGTTAGAGCTGGCCTGGGCACGCTGCAGACCCTTGGGCATCAGAGTGCAGTCCTGAGCGCAGGTTAGCTGAGGCCAAGACAAGCGTGGGAGGGCAGCCTTGCCGGGGGCTGGGCAGCAGCTGCAGGCCCTGAGTTGTCTGAGAGGAGCCAGGACGGCATCCACACAGAGAGATGGGCCGGGGCCAAGGCATGGGAGTGGGACCCTCGTAGTGGGAGGGGCCAGGGAGGTGTGGGGAAAGCCGAGGCTGAACTGGATGGAGGAGAGTTCTGGAAGCATGGAGCTGGCAGTGAGGAGGGCTGGGAGGCCCTGACGAGAATGTTCGTTGCTCCTGGGCTTGCGGTGTCCCCTAGCTCTGCTCCTAAGGGGGCACCGTTAGCAGCTGACGGAGATGGATGTGTTGCGCTGTCTTTCCTCCAATGTTGACAGGGCGTGGCCTGCTCTCCTGGCCACCCGGAGAAGCAGGGCCTTATCAGATGCATGCATCCTGACTTATAAAACCAATCTTGATGCACTGGCCGCAGGAGCCCGGTGCCTGAGAAATGCTGACATTTCTGATCAATGCTGGACCGGGATCTGAAGGCAGGGTGAGCAGGGAGGGGCGCTCGCTGGTCGGGGCCAGATCCACCTGTGCCTTTCAGGGTCCTGACGCCTCACAGTTAGGAGCCAGTGGACTCTTATCTTCAGAGACAGAGTCACTAGGCAACTTCTTTTCCCTCTTTGGGACTCAAAGAAGGGCAGGGGTGGGATTGGGGGCACTCAGGCAATTCCCCTGTGTTGTCGGAGCTCATCTTAGAGGCGGAAGAGGGAACTGGGCCTTCGTGGGAACTGCGTGTGTCTCAAGCAGGTGGCCTCAACACCTGCTGCGGACGCCAAACGAGAGGTTTTGGTTCACAGGGAATGAAGGGAAAGAAAGGGAACTACACTTCTTAGGTCTTCTGGTTGCTTGTTTTATCTTACAACAAATCAACAGTACAAGGGCTGATATTATCTCCTGTTTAATAATTGAGAAAACCGTGACTCAGAGAGGTTGAGTGTCCGGCCCCAGTCCCCATAGCTACTAAAGGGTGAAAGTGGTATTTGAATTCAGGTATCTCTGTTCCATACACATAGAAGGTAGAAAAATGGGATCAGAATGGCAAAGGGGAGTTGGAACTAATCCCGTCATGCTTTGGCCTCTAGCTATGTCTTGAGGTGGGTAATGAAATGCCGGGTTCCAGCCTCTCCCTGTGAGTTAGTCAGGATAGGGTAGGCTGGGCTGCAGTAACAAATAAACTCAGTCTCGGTGGCTTAACCTAACCCAGGCTTGTTTCTGTCATGCAAAGTCCGCTGTGGTTCAGGCACCTCTGCCTCACCACAGGTCTTCGCTGTCCAGATCTCAGCGTTGCCCTTCAGAGTACGCAGCCTCCACAGTCCCCGTGACAGAGGAGCTAGAGAAGGACTGCAGATCTTACCGGGTCAGACTGGGAATGACACATGTCACCCCAGTCAGAGACGTGTTGGCCAAAGATAATCTCATGGCCCCAACCTCAGCCGCAAGGGGAACTGGGAAATGTCAGGACATCTGTGAGGGTTTGATGAACATTGAGAGTCTCCGTCCTACCCTAACACGCTCGCTTCCTTATTTCTGCCCTTGTAGGACCGAAGCCCAGAGCAGCCCCATGGTTCCAGTCCAGGACGGACCCTCGGAGAAGCTGAGCCAGCGCCTGGCCACTGAGGCCTTGGGCCCCAACAGCTGGGAGAGAGACAAGAGCTGCCGGGAGCTCAGTCCCGCCAGAGCACGCAGGTGAGATGCTGCCCGCAGCGGGAAAGTTCGAGTCGAGGAGGCGGAGATGAAGTTCGTCTCTCTGGCCAGTCCACCCCTGTCTCTTTACAAGGTCTTCTTTCAGACCCTTAAATCAGGGATCAGCAAATGTCTTTCTGGGGATGATCAGATAGAAAATGAGTTAGGTGTGTAGTCTCCATCACGCCTGCTCAGCCTTGCTCTGTAGCACAGAGCAGCCACAGACAAGACGCAACCAAGTGGGCGTAGCTGTGTGTCAGTCACACTTCCTTTGCACACCAAGGAGATGGGCCCAGTTTGGTCCAGGAGCCCAGTTTGGTCCTTAAGAGGCAGAGGTAGTTTCCGTCCGTGCTAATGACCCCCCGAGCCATGGACTCCAGAGTTGTGACTTCAGCCTGGATCTGTCCCCTGAGTCCCAGATCTTTGCGCGCATTCCTAATTCAGTCATTCCCACCGTAGTTTGTGAGCACCTACTATGTGTTCACGTGATAGGCCGTGTGCAGCTGCCCCGTGAGAGCACAGCGTCTTCCTGAGGCTCAGAGAGGCAAGGTGGCTTCCCCAGGTCTGGCAGCCGGTCAGTGGTAGGGCGAAGTGTGTTGTTTATTTGCTTGTTTGTTTTACTTTAGGCACCATTTACTAGTTATAGTTTTTTTTTCTTTCCATGTTATTCTGCATTAGTGTCAGGTGTACAGTAGGGGTTGGACAATCATGTACTTTACGAAGGGCTCCCCCTGATATGTGCAGCACCCCACCTGGGACCACACATAGTTATTACAATACTATTGACTATGTTCCCTGTGCTGTACTTACACAGAGTGAAGGTTTGAACTTCGGTCTCTCTGATCTTATACCCTAGACTTAAACCTACCATGTCATACTTCGACGGTTAATGAAAAAGCCAACCTATCCCCTGCCACCTGTGTAAAAGTGTTATGCTGTACACATATTAAGTCTGGCCCATCCTTGGCCCCTGGAGCAGTGAATCTGTTTAGCACAGAGTCGTATAACCTGGGGTCGGCAGCTGGCCGAAGGTGTCACTCTTTCTCCTCACACAAACTCAGCACTGTCTCGCTGCCCTGGGCCTGAATCTGACCACCCCCCACCTCCACCGCAGTGACAGATGGAAATGGAACCTAGTGTCCTCATCAGCAGCTCTCCCCAGATACAGCCTTGGCCTCCTGTTCAGTCAGAGGGCGTCAAAGCCATTTTACAGATGGGAAAACTGAGGTCCATTGGTAACAGGGCCTCAGGGCTAGATAAGCCTGAGGACCCCTGATCTGATCCAAATTCCCTCCTTCGAACCTGGAGCTTTGGGGTTAGTAAGGTAGAGTGATTGACTGAAACAATGAGATCTTTCTCTGTTTTACATGACACACTTTTAAAAGTTTTTTTTTCCCTAAGTGTCTCTCCCTTAACTTGAAACGATTCAGGTTTCTTTTCCTCTCAAATTCCTGGCCGCTGTTCCCCTGGGAGGTGTTTATAGGAAACAAGATGATTTAACCAGTGGCTAAATTATTTCATCCATTCACCCCTCATTCGGCCGCTCGCCGAAGGTCCACATGTCGGGCTCCTGCTCTGTGCCAGGCACTCGGCGAGGGGAAAACTTGGACGTGGGCACCCACATGCGCGCTCGGACGGCCAGTCCGCTTCCTGGAAACGTGTGGGGTCCCCTGTGCTTTGTAACACCGGAGCGTACGTAAGGCGCTGCGTGCCTCCTCCCTATGCTGTTTGCGTTCAGCCTGCCAAAAGCGACTCTCCTGAAAACGCTCTCGATAAATCAGTAGCCGTATGGTTTTTATACTGGCAACGCGGAGACCTGAGCGTGCATTGTGATCACTGTATCGTTGTTTTTCTACTAACCGAAATGATCCCGGTTCTTGGAATGGAGTTAAATATGGCAGCGTTTTTGAGATGTTCTGTAAAGAGTTCTGGGTCGTTTCCAGAGCGCAGGCGCAGAAACAGGTTTGAGAAGGCAGCTGGTCCGGTGGGAGAGCTCTGGGGGAGGGGCCACACCGGCCTGGACTCTGCTCCCAGCATGCTCAGCGTCCCCTCACCGTGCCTCAGTGGGCAAACCCGTTCAGCTCCCTGAGCCTCGTCTCCTTCACCTGTGAAATGAAGCAGGAAAAGCCAGCCCACCCCCAAAGTGTTTTGTGAATGTCCAAGTATATAAAACACGTGGCACATAATAAGTGAATAAACGGTAGTTATGTTATTGCTAATAATGACAATAATATTCTTATTAATATTCCATTTGCCCACGGTGGTCCAACTAGGTCGGCACGTTTCAATTTCCAAGCAGTTTTTCATCCCAAACTGTCTCCTTTTGCCATGGGGTAGTGTTTTAAAAAAAAATCCCCGGAGCCTGCCCCAATTATAAAAGGAGATAACTTGACTTCATTTAGCTGCAGCCTGAGCATTTGAATTTAATTGAATGGGAAATAATTATTCCTGAAGAGCAGAGGTTTCTGAGGTTCTGTGAAGCGATATAAGATATGTATCTCATTACATTAGACCTCGGCAAATATACTTTTAATAATCAGCTGCTCCTTCGCATATCTGCCTCCTATTAAATTTCCAGCAGGAACTATAGACTAGATGTATTGGGGAGGGAAGGGGCTGAACTGCCGATTCATTATTTAAAAAGTGATTTATTTATCAAGGTCAACCATTTGCAAATTCAATAATAAATCTATTAAGGAGCAGTTAACCTCCGTGATTCTGTTTTAAATAATCAATTGGTGTTTGGGTGACATACCGCGTCTGTCTCATTAGGTCGGCATTAGCTCCTCATTTGAGACACTTTGTCTGAAGTGTGACCGAACCGGCCAGGAGGTGGTAATTCGCTGTGGGTCCTTCATCCTCCAAGGCGCTGGGTCCCCTTTCCCACGCTGCAACAGCCCTGACCGGGGCCTGGGGACCCTGAGCCCTCTAATGCCAGGCTTGGTGTTCTCCACAGCGCCTCCCGCGACAAGGATTTGACGCCACCGCCCTCCTCCAGGGGGAAGAAGAAAAAGAAGAAATCCACCAGGAAGAAGAGAAGGAGGTGAGGGCCCCACGGCCTGGTGAGACCGTGAAGGTGGGGGAAGGGACAGAACGGGGGTAAAATGGGCATCGGAGTCAGACAGTGACCCCTTGGGTTCGGTGCCCCTCTCTGCCCCTTCACTGGCTGTGTGGCCTTAGGGAACTCACTCCACCTCTCTGTTTCCAGTCCTGCACAATGGTGACAATACCTCCCTCTCGGGGCTTTTGAGGGGGTTTGGGTGAAAAAACGGGTGTGGAAGGCGCTGTCTCACAGTGTCTGACACGTAGTGGTGAGTGACAGATTGGGCGGGGCCACAGCCCTGACCCTGAACATTGGTTTGTTTGTTTTAGTTTGAGGGCTGTGTCTGTGTGGAGGGCTGTGCGTTCCCCACGATCTCTCTTGCCTTTGACCGCAGCCTGCCAGGCAAGCATTATTGTCCCCATTTCAGAGGCGGGAAAAGAAAGGCACGGGGTGGGCATGGCAGAACCCACAGGGACGTGGCTCCAGGCCCCCTGGTTGGCTCCATCACATGCACCCGTGGGTTTAAAGCCAAGGATAATGGATTTTATATTTTGCTAGCTACTGACTCTTTTGTACCCTATGATTTTTTTCTATGTACAATGTATTTTATTTTTTTTTGCATTTAAAAAGATTTCCAGATTTCCTTCTAAGCTGCCACTCGTTGGCCTACAAGGATAGCCAGAGCTCCAGACCCGGAGTGGTGGCCATAGACCGTTAGAAGGGACAGCTGAAAAACACACCAAACCGGGGAGGCAGTACTTGAAGAAGCCTGTAGGGGGCAGCAGAGAGGAATGTCTGAAGGACAAGTCCCCACCCCCAGGTTCTCCCGGACCTAGTTTCCAGGACACCCCTGTAGGCTAGTTCTAAAAGGACCCAAACAGGAATGTGGATGAAGACCCTAAGTCCCAGGCACTGTAGAGTGAGCGCTGGAATTGGCGCAAGTGGCTTATGCCTCCTGGTCTTAGGGGCGGGCACGAGGACACGTCAAAGATGGAAGCCACAGGCATCAGGCTTCACCAAGCCATTCTTTCGTTCAGTCAATGTCCACCGGGCATGGGCTTGGGTTCAGGCTCTGTGAGTCCCTAAGAGTCAGGCCGTTCTCAGCGCCGCCTTTTCCCCTGCAGACATGTTTTGTTGCACGTGCAAAGTGTTTATTTTTCTTTTTGTCTCTTTAACTCCTGGTCAATGTTTCAAGGCCGGGAGATGCCATATAAAAAAAGATGTTTCTCTGGTGACTTCTATTGAAAAGGAGGTTTTCTGGAAACCCGGGGACCCCCGGCTGATCTGAGAGGCACCCCTTCAGTCAGGTGCCCCTGGTGGACCCAGGTCCCCACCGCTCCCTGCTGCCTTTCGGCTGGGCTGCTGTATCCGCATATGCTGTCTGAGAGCCCCCTGCTGGCACTGTGTTTGAAACACCTAATCTTGCTCAACCTGGGTGTTTTGTCAGTGGGGGAATGAGAGCGAGCGGTGACCACCCAAGGAGGCTTCATGACTTGGTGGCAGAGCCAAGACTGGAACTCGGGTCTCCGGAGCCTCGGTCCGACATTGCAGACACGTGCGAGCTAGTGTCAGCCTGTACATTATCCTGTGGGTGCCACCGAGCGCCCCAGGACCGGCGTGGGGCTGGAGGGAGGGCCTTTCTGAAACCAGCACTGGCCTTTAAGAACCTCTCTCTGAAGGGCGCCCCTCTCCCTGCAGGTCCCCATCGTATAGCCCATCACCTGTCAAGAAAAAGAAGAAGAAAAGTTCCAAGAAACATAAGCGGCACAGGTACTGCCCCTCCTCCTCCGCAGACAAGACTGCCCCAGGTGGGGGAGGGGCGGCGGTGAGCGTGGATGACCCCAGAAGGTCATTTAGAAGCATTTCATGTATGTAAAGCATTCATCTGCGGGTTGCCTCTCCTTCGTTTGGTTTTTCGTGCCTTGTGTAACTTGGGACCCTGGTGGAGACGACCAGAGGCCCACCGAAGCCCACTCAGGCGGAGGGGCAGTGGGTGCGAAGGAGGCGGCAGTAGTGTCTTGGGGGCCGGCCGGGCCTCCATGCGGGTCCAGGGCCGAGGAGTGGAGTGCTGAGAGCACCAAGCAGGGCACGCAGTCCCCCATTCCCTGTGGGAGACGTGGCTGCACCCCGTTTCCGTCTCTCCACGTGGCAGGCCCAGCCAGAAGGCACTGAGTCTCTCTGTCTTGTCCCTCATTCCCAGTCCCCAAGGAAAGGCCCCCCCGTGGGTCCCAGAGGATGGGATCATGCAAAACCCGGCTTCTGGGGATGTCCTCCCTTGGGGACAGTGAAGGGGCACTCCGAACTGGCCGCACGTGCCAAAAGGTACCCAGTATACACACACGCACATACACACCCTCACACACACGTGTGGAATTATCGGTGGGAAGGGGGGAAGATGGGGTGGATACACGCCAGCGTACGCAGATCTGTGGCTCACAGGCCAGGCTAACTCTTTATGATCAGGAGATTCCGAGATATAAAAACCAGGTTTTCCAGCTGCTGTGCACAATCAGCAGCGCTGTCCTCATGGGCCAGTTTTCACACAGGTGACCGTCAGCTGCAGCTGAGCCGCTGCCGGGAGTGTGCACGGGCCTCCGAGCTGGGCTGGCCACGGGCCCATGCTCACACACACTCATAGAGCCCGCTGCCCCCTGGGGGCAGGGGGTTCGAAGCTCCCCGTGCAGGTGATTGGCTGCAGCCCACTGTGGATGGTGGGAGAAGAGCGGTTTCTATTTTCTTTGTGCTTGTCTGCATCTCCCGCTTCTCCTGCATCGATGGCGGGTGGCTTGTGCAGTTCATCACAACAGAACAAAAAAGCAAACAGTTCATCCGGGGTTTTCCCCGGCATCGCACTCGTGGTTCCAAGTCGCCCCAAAGCAGCTTTGCCTGGTTGAGGGACGTGGTCAGGTCTGGGCTCTGTTGCCAGAACCAGCCGGACTCAGTTTGGCCGCGCCGATGATGGCGCCCCCTTCCCAGGCACTCTGACGGAGGCTGAATTGTGTTTGATGCGGTTGACCCTTGAAAACGTGGGGGTTATGGGCCCTGACCCCCCACAGAGTTCAAAGTCCCAGTGTAACTCTGACTTCCCCAAAACTTAACCACTACTAGTCCACCATGACTAGAAGCCTTATTTATGGATTAACACACACTTTGTATGTTATATATTATATACTGTCTTTTTACAATAAAGGAAGCTAGAAAAATGTTACTAAGGAAATCATAAGAACGAGAAATACACTTACAGTGCTGTACGCATTTACTGGGAAAAAACCCCACAAATCAGTGGGCCCGTGCAGTTTGAATCCATGTTTTGGAGGGTCAGCCATACAAGACGGGGTCACACCAGTCAATGAGGTGTTGCTGGTTTGGCGTGAGAAGCCTCTGCCAGCACGGAGGCTTTGGCAGCGACGGTGGCCTGCCCAGACTATAGACCCGTCTTGTCGCCTGTGCTGAGTAATTTGTCCCAGCTCGGGGCACTTTTCCGCGTCTGGATCTGGGAAGCCTAGGGCCCTCTCGCTCCAGGGTTTCTTCTTTGGAGAAAGAGATGGGCCAGGGTAGGGACGAGCTTTTGCTGCTGGCTGCGGTCAGCCCGGGCACTGGAGGGCGAGTGGGGAGGAGGGCCCCACACGGGGAGGTTAGGAAAGGCGGATGCTGACGCTCCCCCAGCCCTCGCCCAATGAGCTCCGCCCCCCGCTGGCTCCGCCCCCGCTGGCCCCGCCCCTGCCTCTCATAGTGTCTGGCGAGTGATGTTTGACTTTGGGGGAGTATGGGAGCCAGGGGTAGAGGATGGATGGAGATTTTTTTTCTCTCCTCTCAATTAAAAAGACTTCAGGGTTAAAAAAATTTCCATTTTTAAATCTGTTTGTTGAATGCCTATTATGTGTCATGAATGAGGATTCTGGGCCCCTGGGAACAGAACAGTGACCAAAACCCAGCCCCTGCCCTCCAGTGGCTGGCACTCCGGTTGGGGAAATGGGCAGAGGGCTGGACCAGAGGACAGCTAAGCTCCGGGCTCGTGGGAGCAGAGAGGAGGCACCCGAGCAGCCTGGGGCGGGGGGGCGGGGATCAGAAAATGCTACGAGGAGAAGGTGACCTCTGAGAGGAGCTCCAAAGAGTGAGTAGGGGTCACACTGGTGAGAGCTGTGTGACCATGGGCATCTCGGCGAACTTCTCTGAACTTCAGCGTCTTTGTAAAACGGGCGTTAACAGTACTTCCCAGAGTCTGGGGGGAGATGGAAAGAGACCGTGTGTGAGACCCTCAGCAGGGAGCCTGGCTCCCAGTAGGAGTCCCGCTCGGGGAAGCTGGTCGTCCTGTGCCGATGAAAGTGATGACGACCATGAGTCCGCGGCCAGGGAGGGACAGGGGAAAGTGAGACGGGGGGGGGGGGGGCGTAGGGAGGGAGGCAGAGGACGCTCTTACCTCACCCTCACCTGCCTCGCCCAGCCCCAGCACAGGGGGGTCCCTGACAGTTTGGGGCGAGGGCTGAGCACTGGTGGGTTTTGACCTGGGGATTCCAAAAGCAGACCAATGTCTTCATATTCTTTTCAGTCTAAGGGGATGTTTGCTAGGTGTCTGACCTCCACATCACACGGTCGCAGATGCACTGAAACATTCACCCTGGGGAAGGAAACCTCTGACTCACCTGTATTTCTTTTCCTCCCTTCCTTTCTCCTCCCTTTCCTCCCTCTGGGCCTGTCTGCCTTTCTCCTTTCTCTCCTTCCCTCCCTCCCTGCCTCCCTCCCTCCTCCCCCACCCCCAATCAGGTCATTCTCCAAGAAGAGAAGGCACAGGTAAGAATCTTGTCACCCCCAGCCACTTGCTTCAGCGTTCCTGCTTTCTTAAAGGGGCAGTGTCTAGGCTCAGATCCCAGTCCCCGCCCCCGTGTTCTCAGGCACCACCCCCGTGTCTGTTTTCTGTGTCTGTTTCCTCCCAAACAAAGGCTTGACCTGGTTTTCCCCAAAGCTCCAAGTCAGCTTTCCACTTCCACCGGGCAAGACCGTTGTCCCGGGACCAGCCCCTCCAGTGTCCGGTCTTGGAAAATCTCCCACCCTTGCCCGAGTCTGTCCGTCTTAGCGCTGATTGAAACCCTGGGGTGGGGCCTGTGGAGGAACCTCAGCCCTCCCAGACCCTGGCCGGGCAACAGGGGCCGGGTCCTGCTGCACCGGGAACCCCGGGTTTCCAGCACAGATGGACTGGCTCCGGCAAGCAGCGCTCTCCACGTGTGTGCGTATTTCACCCCCGTGATTCTCCTCACTCTGTGCGGTGGATGTTTCATCGTCCCCATTGTACAGATGAAGAAACTAAGACTCGCACAGGCGACGGGACAGGCGTGCTCACAGACACGGTGCGAGGGTGGCCGAGCCAGACTTTAAAACCAGATCTCAGACAGAGAACCGGGACGGGCCGCTGTGGCTTCTTCAGTGCCCCCATGTGAGAGCCGTAGGCAGAGCACAGAGCTCTTTAGTTCCTTCCGTGCCAAGGAGACCTCGACCACCGATGCCACCCGCTCTCTCAGCCCAGCAGCCTGGGCGGCAGCCCAGTGTCGCAGCCAGGGAGGCTGGGTCTCTGACGAGACAGCGGACTTGCCCGACGTCCCAGGGGGCCAGCCGCGTGCTGGGTCTGAGGTGTGAGCTGGCATCTCCCAGTGAGGCGCCGGGCCCTTCCACGGCCCAGGGCGAGTCTCGGGCGTGGCCACAGGTCCTGCTGCCACCGTCAAGGCCCAGTTTCGGGCAGATGAGACCAGTTTCCCGTTCCCAGGACCGGGGCCCCACGCCGAGTGTGTGCGTGGCGATTTCTTGAAGCCAGCCTGACTTCAGTTGTCAAATCGTGCTCCCCCTCTGGCGCCTCCGTGTGACGGCGCTGGGGCCTCGGGCTGGCACTGTCCGTTCCCTCCACGGCCCAAGTGCTCTGACCTAAAACAAACAAACAAACAAACAAAAAACAAAGCAATAAGGCCCAGGTGCTTGGATATTCACGGGCAGAACATTTCAGAATCCGCCCGGCTTCATAAGTCTCCAGGGTTTCCCCTCGAAAGTTCCATTCTCTTCTCTTAGAAAATGATGGGACAGCAGCCGGGAGAATGGGCTCCGGGGACCGTGGTCTGGGGCCACCTCCCCGCTCGCCTGTGTGGGCCGGCTTCCACATCTGTGCAATGGGCCCGTGGTAAGGTGTGCCCCTGCCGTAGGCGGTGGGGAGAATACAGTGAGATTACAGATAAAAAGGATTCAGCAGAACGCCCTATAGCAAAGCCTCACAGGATGGCAGGCATTGTTATCACCTTCATGGCTACGGTTGTTTGTACGCTGCCCAAGCTCACCCTGGCCTCCTCAGTCCCACATTCTCAGGCTGGGCACCTGGGTCGGCGTCTCCAGCCGAACCCTCCGGCGACAGTCGGCGTCGACTGCCCTGCTCTTGCAGGGGACAGTGGACCTAGTGGCTGCTGGGTGTTAAGCATGTTAACTACTTGTTTATGTTCACCTTTCACTGCAGTTTTGCACCTTTCCATTAATTGGCCATTCGTTTGTCATGTAGCTCCTCCAGCCCAAAAAGCAAGAGAAAGGAAGAGAAGAGGCACAAAAAACAGTGAGTAGGGACCTCCGGGAAGGCTCTCCCCAGTCCGGGGACAGTGTTGAAGTCGCCTGGTGAACAGGAGCGGCAGGGTGGGGGGGAGGGGAGAAGGGAAAGGCAACAGCCTGTGGACGGGCTGCTCCGCGGGTCTGGGCGTGGGTGCGTGCACAAGGCTGTGTATGTGATGTGTGAGTGTGCATGAAGGTGAAGGGCATGCACCTGTGTGCCTGGCACACCCTCTGTATATGGATTCTGTGTTCCTGTGTGCGTTGTGTATTTATCTAGTGTGTGTGGTGTGCACATTGTTGGTAACCGTCTATACCTTTTTTCATCATGCAAACATCTGTGTGAACTGTGTGTGCCAATGCGTGCAACATGGGCACCTAGTGTGTGCAGTATGTGTTTGTGTTCACACAAATGCATCACGTACGCCGTGCTTGTGTGGGCTGTCTGCCGCTGTGAGTGAACTGGATGCACTGTGAGTGTGCCCAGCTCATGTGTCTGTGTGCGTTATGCATTCCGAGGGTGTGGGTGGCTTTTACCTGTGCACACGCTTGTGCTGTGCATGCACCAGTGGTTGAGGGGGGATGGTCAGGTGCATGCACCTGCGTGAGTGTGCACCTGAGTCCCAGCCCTGTGCTGGGGCCTGGGGCTCAGCGGGGCGCTCAGCGAAGCGCCTGTCCTGTCCCGGGGCCCCAGCTGGTTCCCGGTTTGTAGCTGGTTGTAGAAATTCCAACCAGCCAGCGCTGCCTGTGGAGTTCAGTTCCCAGCCAAATTAAAAGTAAATTTGGTTACAACCCACCTACTTTATACCCTGCAAATGTTAGTGCGAGTGTTTTCCAATCAACTAATAATTTATCTCCTGCCAAGAAGCTTCTAAAGTAAGGATCAAAGGCAAAGGGATGAAAGGCAGCCCACTCCTGGAGAGGGAGGTAGGGTCAGGGGCGCAGAGGGAGGGCGCCCAGCTTTGCGGCTCCACAGGGTCGCCTCACCCAAGGTCGGTGCCCAGGAGGCCACGTCGGACACCGCCGCGGTGCCTGTGCCTGCGGGAAGCTCCAGAAGGAAGCAGCAGAGCTTTGAGTTAGCTCTGGGGAGAACTTCCTGATTATCAAGCTGGCTGTTCAAGTCCAGAGGCAGTTGTCGGTCCTAGGATTGCACGTGCTATCATGCTAAGCACACACAGAGTGCATGCTCCCCACGTCTGCAGCGTCACTCATCCAGGGGGGCTGTATGGTGGGCCCTGTGCAGGGCCCAGGACAGAGGTTTGCCAGGCACTGTCATGGCCTCAAGGAGCTCACAGTTCAGGGGGCCCGGGAGCCAGACATGGGATGCGTCACAGTGCCGCGGTGGCACAGGAGGTGGCAGAGGCAGTCCAGGTGCAGACGGGGCCCTGGTGCTGGGCAGAGGGTGTGGAGGGGAGGGGACGCTTTCCGCAAGAGGGGGTGTTTCGGCCGGGGGTGGGGACGGAGGTGGGACTCTTGCCGGTGGCAGGCCAGGCACAGCGGTGGCCTGGCCGCGCCTCGGTTTCTGCACCCGTGAGACAGGAGTCCTGGGGCACCCGCTCCGCAGGTGGTTGTGAGGGGCGGGGCGTCCGTTTGAGGAAAACGCTTGGAACACAGTGCCAGACACGCCGTGTGTGTTAGGTAGGGATGGGTGGCCTGTCACCCTCGTCACCTTCACAAGGACGTCCTGGACTGGGAAGCGCGTGTGCCAGAATAAAAGCATCCCCCCCCCCCCCCGCCCGGGGACGCGCGTGCCCGCCAGGCCAGCAGCTGTCATGCAAGGAGGCTGGAGAGCCAGACCAGGCGTGGCTCCCGAAGGGGCTGGGGCTTCGAGGTCAGACTCTGGACCTGACGCGAGGGCACCGGCCTGATTATCTCACGTTACGGGGATCCCTGAGTCCTCTGTCGGGACAGCCAGCTACCTCCCGACGGAGCCGTCTGTAGCTCCCACGATCCCCCCGGCCTGGCCCGCCACGGACGCCCCTGCGCCTCCGTGGTGACCGCCGCCCCTGCTGCCGCCGTGTCGTCGTTATTGTTTACGGGGCTCGGAGCCAGCGGAGATACCACTTGTAGCGGCGGTGGTCATGATTATTGTAATTTCTGTTGTTGATGATGCTTGTAACTCATTCTGAAATTGGGCTTTTGACCTCATGCTAAGAATCTAGACTTAATTTTCCAGGTCCAACATTACAAATTGGCAGCTCAAGGGCCTAATTTACTCTGCAGATGTGTTTTGTTTGTCCCAAACAGTGTCATTTAAAAAACAAAAACAAAAAAAGAGCCTCCATTTAACATAGGAATCTTTTCCATAGATATCTGTGTTTCTACAGTCGCTTGAAAAATTAGAAGACCCAGCCCCACGCCCACATTCTGGAGGCAGAGCCACCCCTTTCTGTGCCCATGGCCTTGGGTTGGTATTTTTTAGTGCCTGACGGAACCACCCACTGGGGCACCTCGTGGTGCAGGACACGGTCTGAAATCGAGGCTCTGCCTTAGGGGAGGCAGAGGTGGCAGGCAGAGGTGACGCACCTGTCTGGGGCGTGGTCCGCAGCCATCTGCTGCCAGCGGGGTGGGGTGCTGAGCCATCCGGAGGACCCCCTTTCTGCTCACTCGGGTTCGGGTCGGCTGGCCAGAGCCCCCAGGTCCCCGTGTGGGGAGCTCGGGTGACGTGGGGCTGAGGTGGAGGGGGACGCTTAGCTTTGGGAGGGACGAGTGACAGAGGGCAGTGTGTGTTACAAGGTCAAAGTCCATCAATCCGGCGACCCATCCACCGGTCTCCCCGGACTCTCTCCTTCTCACCCCACCCCCAAGGTCTCGAAGCAGGCCCCGAAAGTCTCACCGCCACCGCCGTCACCACTGCCCCTCGCGATCCCAGAGCTCGGAGTCGAGGTCCTCAAGCTGTGAGAACAGGTAACCCCTCACCCCAGCCGCCACCCAGAACGGAGTCGACATGTGTCACCTGAGGCGGTGAGGGAAGAAGTGAAGGAGTGAATGAATGAATGGGTAGGCAGGTGGGTGGGTGGATGGATGGATACTCTGCAGTCCTCAGATCCCACGGGTCCCTCCGCCACCTCTCTGCCACCCTCCCCTCCCTCGACAGACCCTCAGGTGTCTCTCCCCTGGCCCAGGCACCGCGGCCGGTCCCCCGAGGAAGGGCGGAAGTCTCGCCAAAGGCACTCCCGCCGCTGCTCCAAGACCCTCGGCAAGGCCAGCCCCGAGGCCCGGTCCAGCCACCCGCCCAGCCAGCCCCTGCAGATGCTCAGCCTCCTGTCGGCCAGCGGTGTAGTAAGTACTCCGCACAGCTCCCTGGGCCAGTCTTGGCCGCGACACCTGGTGGGGGCGGGGGCTGAAGGCACCAGTTCAGGGCAGTGCACAGCACATTTTTAACTTGGTTTTGGGCAAGGACCCCACTGATTTCAGACCTCACTGTTAATTAACCAGATGGTCCTTCACCAGCCTTTGGCAGCACTCGGCTTGGGGATCGGGGGCGGGGGTGGGCGGGCGGACGAGTGAAAACATCCAGGCTTTTTATCTGGGGGGTGTCGAAAAGTACGTCTTCAGGAATGCCTGTGCGAGGCACTGTAGGAGGTTTCTTGGTGGGGGAGGAAAAGGGGGGTCTCCAAGGTCCCAGGGAACCCCAGCTTTTCCACGAAGTCCACATCTTGGATGCCAGCTAGCCGGCAGTGTGGAGGGACAGCCGGGGCCTGATGTCACCTGTGTCAATGTGACCTTACATGTACAGGACCTGTGTCCTCCCACAGGTGCACAAAGGTCTCAGGGACAGAAAAGCCAAGGCCAAGGTCTGTGTAAAGACTGCCAGGTAAAGCAAAAGCAGACAGACCCCTGGCAGGCTCTGAGCGGGACCTCAGCCAGTGGATGCCACGGCGTTTCTGGGCCAGGGCGTGGAGCTGGACAGGAACGCAGGTCCCCGTGCTGCCACGTCCTAGCCGTGTGGCTTTGGGAAAGTCACTTAACCTCATTGGAGCTCAGTTTTCTCATCAGTAAAGTTGAAACAGGACCACTTCCCTATAGGGTCGCTGGTGATAATACAATAAATAAGATATGGTGTATCATGGCCTTTAGTAGACGCTACAGGGACCGAGAGACAGACGAGGACATTGAACCTCGATGTGGCCTACAGTTGCGACTGCCAGCTGGGAGGGGACCTGTCTCCTCCAGCTGCGAGCAAATCCGAAAGTCTCGGAGTGCTTCTCCCTTAAAAAGGATGAGGGGGGAGAAAGGAAGAGCTCAGAGGTGCTCGCCGGGAGGTCAGGGAGGGGCCGGCGGTGATGGGCCCTCGCTGGGCCTGGTTGACACAGCAGTTAGGGCCTGTCGCGCATCCTGAAACTCACTGTACCCCGTCACGGCATCCTAAGTCACCAAGTCCAATCTTGCCGTGGTCCTCGGCCTTGCTAGAAATAGCCCACGGCTCTCCCCAGGCCACCACCCCCCCTTTGTAGAAATGCCTGCCGTGCTGAGTGTTCGCCGGTGGGAAATGCCCCCCTCCTGCAGTCTCCCCGCCCTGCGGGTCCTGTGAAGGGTCTCCCCAGTGTGGCAGAGACTTGGAGACGGGGTTCGGGTCTCGGCTTGGCGGCACGACTCCTCTTGTCCCTCGCAGCCTCCGCTTTCCCACCTGGAGAACGGGCCCGCGGGCCTCACGTGTCTCCCAGAGGAACTGTTGCAAAGGCAGAAATGAATTTAAAAGGCAAGCGGTGAGAGGTGGAAGGATGATGTTCAAGGCAGTGGAAGCCACCTAGTCCCCCGGTCAAGGTATTTGAGGCAGCCCATTCGGTGGCCCCTAGTGACCCTCATTAAAAAGTGCCATTGGGAGCAACTGGCCCATGCGTTCTCACCTGCCCGGGATGGCTTCCCAACTGGGCAGGGCTCTGAAGATGTTGCAAAAAAAAAAAAAAAAAAAAGTATCCTCCCACAGCAGCTAAGCGAGGTACCGGATTGGCTGTTGGTTCTCGAAGCCGTCTGTCCCCGGGGGCCCAGCCCTCGCTGGAAGAGCTGAAAGCTCATCCGTACTTAGAAGGCAGAGATGGCGAGAGCCCGTCTCACTCAAACCCCGTATTCCAAGAAAAAAAACTGACTCACAGGAGATCAATGACTCCCGTGGGCCAGGGCAGGTCGGTCGTTGGGAAAAAACAAAACAAAACGTGGGGTTCTCTGACCGTGCGCGCGAGTCCTGGCTCTGAGCAACGGATAGCTGCTTAAACCGTCCTGAGCCGCAGTTGTTTCCTCCATTAGAAAGAGATCGTGAAGATAAGATAGTCTCTTCTTCAAAAGCCCTGTTGTTAGGACAGAAGCAACGGAATGTTGCAAACCACTGATCCCTCCCAGCTTGGCACAGCGGCAGGACTCGGCAAAGGTTGGCCGGTGTCCTGACCGCAGCCTCGCAGACTCTGCCTCTGTCCTTACCCACCGAGGAGCCCCGAGCGAGTCACACAAACGTGCTGTGCCTCGGTTTCCCCCAGGTCTGCAAAACGCGGGCACTGATGAGACCGGCCTCTTCAGGGGTACCACTCAACTCAGGGGAACTGTTTATGCTGTGACAGGCGGGTGGTACACACTGTTATGGGTGATGGCGATGATCTAGTAGCCACAGTGGAAATAGAGATAACTGTGGCAACAATAGCAGCGGCGATGGTAGTGATCATAACATTGGTGCGGCTCTAGGCACAGACTAGCGGATGAGTCGGGACTCAGAGCCCGGCCCCTGCTTCCCCCAAGATCCTAGAAGGCGGCTGCAGCCCCCAGAGCTGGCCCCGCCCCACTCGTGGCTGCCTGGTTTCTGGGGACGTCGGGTGCCCCCCAGTCCTGGCCCTCTGCGTCCCCTCCACACCGGAGCCTTTCTCATCCGCTCTCCTGCAAAGGCAGAGACGAAAGAAGGTGGCGGGTGGGACCACAGGTTTCTCTGAGTCCTGGCCCCGCGATGTCCCCGAGCTCTCTGTGGAAGAGAACAGCAGAGTCTCCGGCATCGACTGCCGGTTCGGTCATCCGTTCCCACCGACCAGCTATCTGCTGGGCAGCTCTAAAGGGCCAGCTCCGAGGCTGGTCCCAGGACCCTGAGCATGAGGGCAGTCTGTGTCTCCTTAGGAGGGAGGCAGGCAGGTGAAAACTGTGTCAGGTGGCAGGCATCGTGAATGCAGAGAGGGCGGAGAGGCTGCAATGGGGTTGAAGGCAAGCCCCAGGAACAGGCGTTAGGACTGGCGCTAGCTTCAGGCAGAGAAGGCAACAGCTAGCAGAGGGGCTGAAGGAGGCAGGAAATGGAGACTGGAGGCGGGATGGAGACGGAAGCCCAGGACGAGAAGGGGGCGTCGGGGGGGACGGCAGGAACCTGAGCATGAAGGGCCTTCTCCGCCACCATGCTTCCTGCCACACTCCATTGCAGGCATTTCCTATGCACGGCTCTTTAAAAAAATCAAGAAGGGTGTATCACATCAAGGGGCACATTTGCAAGTATGAATATGCAAATCTGGGGTCTTGTCTCCTTGAAATCCTACTTGGTGAGCTAAAGATAACCTGAAGCCCTCTTGCTGGGCCTGAGCCCAAATCCAAATGGAGGGTCCCAAGGAGGCAATTGAGGGACCCTTCACAGCCCCACTCGTGCTCCTCATCTCCACTCAGCCGTCTCTGTTCCAGGCATCAGGGAGACAGGGAGACGCATAAACCCCCGCTCCTGAGCTCCGGAGCTCACAGTCTGGTAGTCAGCAGCCGGCTGCACCGCCGTGAGATAAGTGCCGTACTCAGGGCTGAGACTGAGTCGGTGAGTGCCCGTGCCGCCTCCGCTGTCGGAATATTCAAATGTTTGCACAGCAGTTGATAAACAGAGCCTGTCCCCACCCCACCCCCAGTCAACAAAGCCACCTCTTTTCTCCCCTGGTACCTTCCGGAACCTTCTCACAGCTGGCACCTGGAGAGAGACCCCTGGCAGCCCTCCAGTGGGCTACCTGTGGAAGGGGCCCACACTCAACCCGCTGTGGAGTCGTTTGAATATCCCCCCGATGGTGGTGGAAGCAGATACAATGTGTAGTAGGACCACAGAGGAAGGACCACACGGTGTTGTCTTGGTGTCCGCGAGGGCTTCACAAACGGGAACATTGGAGCTGGGCTTTGAAGGACGGGTAGGAGTTCACCCAACTGAGAGGGATGGTGACAGAGGGAGGGGGAAGTACGGCTGTGTGCCCGGCACTGTCACATTTGAGGTAGGTGCTGTTATTATCACGATTTTTCAGATGGAAAAAACGAGAGTCAGAGCGGTGAAGTGACTTGGGCAGTAGCCCAGTTGGGAGGAAGGGGAGTTGGTGTGAGTCGTGGCTTGTGCCTCGGAAGCTTGGTCTGACAGCAGAGGACTGACAGCTGCTTGACCGAGGGGGTGGCGACCCCAAGGTCCGGCCAAGCCCTTTCCCTGGTGCAGTTGGGGGGAGGGAGGCCCGGAGGGAGGGGCTGATGCAGCCGGAAGCTAGACCAAGCAGAGGAGCAGGCCCCGTTTCTGCTCTCCCGCCTCCAGCCTGGGCCAGCGGTGGCCACAGCTCCCTGCCAACAAAAACCACACACGCGCCACAACAAAAATCAAAAAGGGGGGAAAACAGAACTTGGGGTCCTTAAAAGAGGGTCTCGTGAAATCTGTCTGCAGGACGAGGCAGTGGAAGGTAGTGATGAAGACTTGGAGGCGGATCTCAATACTCTGGAGTTCTTGACCTTGTGTCTGACCTTGTCTCCCTGGGAGGCCCTGGGCAATAGTAATAACTAATGCTTGCTGAGGACCTACTATGTGCCAGGTGCTGGGCTGAATTCGTACCTGCATCATCTCACTTATTTCTGAAATGGCCCCTCAAAGGAGCTTCCATCAATGTCCCCTGTTTGCAGTGAGGACACTATAGCCTAGAAGAGTTAAGTGAAAGGAAGCTATTGAGGGGAGAAATTAAAATCCAAATCCAGAAAGCCTGACCCGGGGACCTGGTGTATAATTGCATGGCCTCCCTCTGTCATCTCCCCACACTGGGACCCAAGGGACTCCTCATCTGTGCCTCGGGCCAATGATCACACCCACCTCGTCGGGTGGCTGTGGAGACGGACCGAGATGAGGTGTGCATGCATTTAAAATACATGCACTGGCGCCTGCCGTGCGCCAGGCAGTGGGTGAGCAGCAGTGAACCAGACAGACGAGGTTCCTGCCCTCGTGTAGCCTCAGTTGTGTGCGGACAGTAGCCCAGCGCTTGGGACCTAACGCCCCGAAAACAACCGTCACTGGGGTGGTGAGTGGTCGTCAGAGTGGCTTT